CGCGTATAAATTTTTTTTTTGTGCACATTTTTTTGCATTTGCGCCAATAAAAATTTTTTGAATTTATAACACTGGGTGCACAATTGTTTACGTATTTTTCGGCCAGAATTAACTTTTTAATTTTGGGAATTAGGTTCAATCTAAAAAAACGAGGTGTTAAAGTCACGTGAAAATATGAACTACTATGTAACAATGGGGTTCGAGTTTATAGAGTTTGATTAGGGATTCAATATGTACTGTACTGATCAGAAGAGATTTATGTACAGCACCAAATTTTTACATCGTTGGGCCCTCACGGCTTTTATTTATAATAAACATTATTTAAAAAAATGAATGACATAAACGTCTTATATATATATGAATAAGTACAAATATATCCTCTATATCAGCTGTATATGAATAAGTACAAATATATACTGTATGTCTAATATATCTAATTTATGCCATCCCATACTTGTTCTATTCGAAAAGCTGCAAACGCAAAAACAACAATAAAAGCAATAAATACAAACACGTCACGCCACAGTTCCGGGTTTAAGCTCCGAGGGGGCCTGCAATATAATGAGCATGTCTTTTTGTGTTTTTCATTCCCGTATTTACGTATCTCGTTATAATCCGCCAAACATCTATAATATTTTTGAAGATTAACATTAAATACAAATAACATCAAAATAAAAATAACACATTTAACCTTTTGCTACTTACAACCAACAAAATTCGTAAAAACAAGTTCTAGCCTTACAAGTCATATGATTACATCCACCATTTTTCTCGATATGGGCTCCACATTTAGGGCAAAGTTTTGTATGCTTCATAAGATAATCTTTTGTGGCAGCTTCTGATTCTTTTTTCTTCTCTTCATACTGAGCGCATGTCATATTTTCATGCCATGGGACATCGTGTGTGTAGCATGATTTCTCTCCACATGCTTTACATGTCATTATTGGTGCAATATCTACATTAACGATTGTGATAAGTGACATATGTATGAATAGCGAAAAATAATTGTCGCGGCTGAAGCTGGAAATTAGGGACCTCGATTTAAAAAATATAAACCTACTAAAATACATTTATGCTCTTTTATTATGCACCTCAAAAATTTTTGAAAATCTCATACGTATTAAAATATTTAAAAATTTCCAGCTTCAGCCGTGACAATAATTTTTATTACATTACCTCTTTGATAATGAATTTGGCCAGATCCACACCTAGAATTTTTACACCACCTAAAATCTGGCACCTTTCTTAATGCTTGACGAAGTGATAATATATCAAATCTTTGCAAAAATAAAAAAAAAGGTATCGACCATTAGATATGTTCATCATTAAAAAAAAAACCATCATTACCTTTCAAATAACTCATGACTAGCTATTCTTTTAACATCATTATGTTCAATAACTTGTTTACATCCTTCAAAAGGACATTGAATAACAACATCACCTTTTTCATATAACATTGTTTCTATATGTCGTTCAACACAATCCTTGCATACATTAGTGGAATGTTTACATTTTGATGTTATAACAAGAAATAATGATGATGATTTTTTTTCTACACATATATCGCATTCTTTGCTTATATTATTAACCATTTTGTTAATGAGAATAAACACTTTTAATAAATAAACTAGATACAAAAGGTATTTTTAAAGCAAAAAAAAAAGGAATTATGCTTTATCGTTGATAATAGAATTCTACTACTTATATACTTGGCAACCTCAGCCTATTTTGCGTATTAAATAAGGCTGTACCCCAGAATTGAACCTTCTTGATTCAGTAGCAGCTATCCCAGATAGGAATTGACCAAAATCCGAATTTAGAGTTAGTTTCAGAGTGTTTAATTTTGGTCAAAATTCCCATTTGGGACAAATTTCAATTGGAGTAGAGTATGATTATTATGGGTCAAAAGCAAATATCATAAAAAGTCAAATATATGTAAAGGATAGCAATAAACTAATGTATCTATTTTTTATTTTGTTTATAGCATTGACTATATATTATCCAATAATCAACGATAGCATCACAGAAGAGTTGAAAAAAAAGCGCATCAATTAAAAGAATTAAATATTATATCCGATTATTTTACTTTATGCCATTTAGCAATGCACAAAATTTGAAGAGTCATAAATGAGCATTAAAAGATTTTGTACTTTAATTCATGAAAAAATATACAGTCATTTCACTCTACAGTATAACGAACGAGAAAATAGTTCGTTATGTAAATCGTTATCCATATTGAAATTTACAACTTTGTGTTTGTGAGATTTGTTGCGGAGAGTCGATTATATTTTGTTTAGTCGATAGGTTTTGTATCTAATAAGTCGGTCAATATATATATATATATCTTTCTGTTTAGATAATTATCGCAACATTTTTTTACAGGAGACTTCTCTAAATGCATTCCATAGGGACCAAACTTCTCGTTCTAACAATTGGAGTCAAGCATAAATTTGGGCCAAGATCTGAGTGTGCATTTAGAGAGTGTACGTTAGAGAGGTCTCTCTGTATATACTTGACTGCTGTAAATTATTTTTCATATTGTTCTCTTAAACATTGTTAGAAATTTAAAGAGGTCTCTTGCATTAGATAAAATTATATGTTCTATCCTAATTATTAAATAAAGCAAGTTAACCGAAAACAATCTATTAAAATTCTCACGACCATGACTACAATTAGTTGATTTTGACGGTAGAATCCTAGATAGTATTAAATTTCGCAAGATGTCTACGCGTAATTTGTTTTTTTAGTAGAGTTATTACCCGGGTCAGATATTGACGGGCCATGACCTGGGTTAACGGGTCATAAGGAAAATCATTAAAAGAACTTTGATGTAGTGACTCTTATTTAGAGCTACTTCGGTCAATAGTTATGTAGGTTACTCTCGAGAGTTTAAAGTATAATTTTATAGAATTTTATAATTTTATGTTATGCCTGTTATATTAATATATAACAAAATACTTGAACCTCAACTTTGTACGTAATTTGAGTTCATCCATTTTCTACGTATAAGTACTGGACCTATATTATCCATTTATCCATATTATTCATGATCCGTCAAGAAGCTGACCCGTACGGATCAACCCGACCCGGGTAAGAGCTCTAATTTTTAGGGCTAATTTGACTTTTTGTTAAGGCGTGTGTCAATTTTGTTCTCCTAGAGTTAGGCTTGCCGCAGTGGTTACGGATTTGGGTAGCTTGGTCTTTTACTAGTGCAGTAGCGTTAGTGATTTGAACTGATTATATAATAATAATAATCAGGTAGCCGGTTAAGCGATGTTAAAAAGTTAATACCCGATATGTTTTTTTCATAGCAATAGTTAATTCTCGATCCTTTTCGATATCTTCGACGGGAGAGCTCTTGTCAGCAAAAACTTGGATTGAATGCTATAGTGTCGCCCGTATTCAATAAGGTGGATCTTAAATATTACTTGGAATTAAAAAAAAAAACCAATCTTTGCATTATGTAATTATATTAAAATCTTTTTTTTTGTTTATGTTAAAGTGATAGCGATAGGTCCCGTTAGCGGCCGTTACGTCACATCATCACATACCTGCTTAAATTTTAACTGAAGTAAATATACACTAAATTTGATTAACGTTTTAAATAATTAGCTTTTATAGATTTCCGTGTCGATTTACTAAGAATGCTATATAGTAGTACTTCATCTTTTTTTTTTTTAGTTTCAATTATTTTGCGATGGCTTTTTGACCATGACTCAAAAAATTGGATTATGATTCTAATCATGTCACTAATAATTCATTTATCAATTAACAATTACGAGTTAATCAATAATAGAGGATAGAAGATCATATAACTGATAAGGTATCAATTTTTACCAAGGGGTTCAACTTTTCTAAAAACTATTAAGCATTCCTACATTTCGAAAGAAATTAATATCCGACTTGAAGTTTTATTTAAACGTGAAAAGCTTTCACTTTACAATTTTTTCCCTTATCATGTATCTAACTATTAGATCTAATATATTTTATTCAACATACCTGTCTAGTCACTGAATAACTCTTAAACAATTAATTTGAAAATGGAAAATAACAAAGTTTTAACAAATAATTTATAGCTTGATTTAACAAATTTTATTGCTTTTTGGACTTGATACTATTGTGATAATATATTTGGACGTTGGTTATTATCCCAAATCTCGATTCCCAAACCCACACTATGTACTAATGTCATAATTCATAAAAAGGTTTGAGTCGCAACCCTAATGTCCCCCACGAAGAGCCAGCACAAGATGGAGGACTTCACCGGCTTTTATGCCTGCTTCTCGGACAGTCTTTTCATCAGTCCTAGTTGTGTAAATTAATTATATAGCCTTCAATTAAACCGACTATATAAAGATTTAGATAAATAAAATAAAAAAATATCATACATACAGTTGCTTTCCACCGTGAATTAGACGTTGTTGAGCAGGTGGAATACCTTCTTTTTCTTCTACACGTTCTTTTACTCTTGCTACCTAACAATTTGATATGATCGATATAAAATTATAAATATGCGCAGTAAAAATGCAAGAATAACTTTGACTACAAGCCAACCGTATCATCATGTTCAATATCGATTTCAATCTACAAGAGCAATTATCATAAATAATTTTGATTTTTTTCATAAAGCAACTTTTTAGCAACATACTTCTTTGCCGGTAAGAGTCTGGAAAATATTGTAAAGAAGTTTATAAATTGATCAGAGGAATCGTAATACGGATCTCAATAAGGAGAAACGTTACCTTGACTTTTATGAGCATTTTATATTACGTTTATGCGGTTAATAATATTAAATTATTGATAGTGTGAAAATTCAGGAATTTAGAGCATGAAACACCGAAGAATGGTTTAAAACGAAGCTGTTGAATGAATGTAGGCTATGATCTGCCGATGTCAAACCTGAGTCATGTGACAAGGTGCACAAACGGTTTGATTGGGTATCGTCTAATAAGTTTGAAAGTTAAAAAAACACAACAAAACCGATCTAAAGCCGATCTAAAACCAATTTAAATCTCAAAATTGGAAATAAATCGAAACTTTTGACTTGAAATAATATTTCCGTGTTCCCGCTTCAAAAGGACACAGCATACACATGACTTAGCCAGCTTCGAAAAATTTTTGGATGATCGACATTGTGGCTTAGCCAATTTAATAAAAATTTTTTGATTTTTATACAGTTTAAAGTACTTCTGATTTTTTGAAACCTATCAAAGCTAGCAAAAGATTTTTATATAACCCATCTTGTATTAAAATTAATTAAAAATAATCTCAAAATTCAAGAAGTTTTATTAAAGATAAATTTTATAAGAGATCAAAGATACAGTAGTTGAATTTATAATTTAAAAAAAAAGGTTTTTTTATTTAGTATTAAAACTAAATATAAGCAGCATGAAACTAAGTTTTAATACTTTTTAAAAAAAGCAATAATAAATCTAAAATAGTTCTTATACAAAAATTAAATAAAAAAATAAGATAATTTGCTTTTATATAGATTAAATCTAATGAAATTAAATTTTAATTATTTTAACTACTACAATTTAAAATACAAATAAAAATAATTTAAAACTAATTTAGCAAAGTATATTTATAAAAATAATATATACATGTTTAAACCAAAATTTTATTAAAAAAGAATTTTATTAAAATGCACCTATGATGTTTTTACACCATAGATCTCATTTCTTAAAAACATATTAAACAAACAGAATTAGGTTCTCTAAGTAAAAGTGTTTAGGACTCCAAAAACCTTATAAAAACTGAGATTGGGCCCTATTGGGCCCTTATAGTAGCTCTATAATATATTCAGGGTTGATCAAATCACTGGTCAACCAAAAATTCGTTGGTCAAACTGGTCTGGTCAAATTGATCAAGTGGTCTAGTCAAATTGGTCAAATGGCCTAATCTATTAAATAAATAAATTTAGTATACAAATATATATATAAATATATATACATATGTATACTATATATATATTTAAATAACCTTTGACCAATTTGACCAACTAGTCAAATTGGTCAAACTGGTCTGGTCAAGCTTGACCATTGACCGGTCTGTGCAAACCCTGAATATATTATATAAAAAAAAATAATTCTTAATTTTCTAACTCTAACCCTAAATTTTATTAAAAGAAATTATATATAGAAGTAAAAACACCATAGGTGTGTTTTATAATAATTCTTAAAAAATATATAAACAAATAAAAAGTTATAATATTATTAGATAGCAGATATTTATAATCTTTAATTTTGTTATTCATACCCTTTTGTAAATAAACTTTTTTCAAACTTTAAACAAAAATACCTTGACAACCATCAAGCCAATTTAATAAACTTTTTTTATTTGAATTTTATAAATTTATAAAATTTGGATAAAAAAAAGTTAATTTATTTATTTATTTTTTTAATGAATTTGACAGTCTTGCTTTCACTTTATTAGACTTTGTAATAATTATCTAAACTATTAAAATTTTCTACAAAGTTATATTCTATAGTACTTAAATTACAAGTGAAGACTCACCCGGTTGCTCACTGAGTACCTATATGCGACCTGCTATAATAAGATTCACCTCTGTACTATCTTATTCTGCAATTGGCTTCAATAATACATCACTAGCTAGATCTTACCACCCATCAAGACTACATATTAGTTTTTCACCAATCTGCTCGTTGTCCTTTTTCAATCTACCTTAGAACTTCTTTTTTAGTTATCTCTAGAATTGAACTTTATCTTTTATCCTCATCTTCATTTTTATCTTTTTCTTTTTTCTTAGTACGTTTATTTGGTGGTTTCTTTTTCTTCCTTTCCTTTTTTGCCTTTTTGTGCAATCTTCTTTTATCTTTAGGCATGATTCCATTTTCCTTCTCCTATTCCTGCACTAGTTTATATCTTGCAACCTATATTTTCTCGTGGATTTCCTTTATCTAATTCTTCCAAAGTCTATCTAGAAAGTTCTTTGCTTGAAAAAAGGTCTTAACTCATTAAAGTCTTTTTTCATGATTAGGCCTCTAATTCATTTTTCTCTTCTACGCGATTTTTCAACTTGAGATCTCTTTTCTAGCATTGTTAAAACTTTTTTTTTGATTCTCTTCCAGTTTTCTACCTTTAGTTTAAGCAGAGTTGCTTCTACTACTTGCTTCTCTAGCTCGCGAAGTAGGTTTAGGGAAGTTTCACAGCTTACCAGATGTTCTACATTTTCTTTCTTTTTTTTTACATATGACATATTTATCTGTCTTGTATGTTTCTGGCCTTCTCTAGTTAAGTTTTTCAAACACTAGAAGTATATTATTTATATACTTTATTTCAAAGGCTGTAGTGCATTTGATTTGAAGGTATGGTCTCATTGTTTAGTTTTGCTTCTCATTATGTTGCACAACATAAACCAAAATTGAGTACTCTTTCTTTTTTGATGAGTTTCATTATGCGTATTATATGTGAAAACACATTCTGCTTTTAATAGCACTCTCCCTATCATTTTGATGAAAGAACAGATAGGCTTTTCAACTAATTTACTTTTCTATGTGTATCTTATTTTGTGGCCTTTGTATATAGTACTTCTGGGTTCAAGTACTTTGTTGACTTGAAACTTTCTTTTGCCTTCAAATCTGCAAGATCATTGAATATATCACCTGAGTAACTCTTGATCTTTATAAAGTGTGTATTTAGCTCCTTTGTTTTGATCACCTCTACAATTGTTGTTACCAAACTACAATTTTTAGTCTTCAACCAAGGTCTTATCTTGTCTGTCTCTAGGCCCTTTTGATTGTTAGTATTGCTACTTTACTATCCATTTGTATCTCTACTCTTCTTTCTTGAGATGAAGTTAATAATGCAAGTAATATTGCTACCATTTCCACTTTTGTAGATGAAAACTACCTCTTTGTCACACAAGACATTTGGTGTAAAAGCTAATCTGTTTCTGTGGTTTGAATTATTCCACATCCCATCACTAATTTTTCTTCATCCTTAGCAGTACCAAGTGAGCCATCTATATAGAAGAATAAACTATCTAATTCTCTATTTTGTTCCAAACTTTCTGCTATTCTAGATCTAATTACATCACTCTAAACTATTCTATTAACTAAAACCATTTCCCAATATTCGCACTTTATATTTATTTTACTCTTCTCTTTTATTCTTTTCATTTCTTTTGCTTTAACTAGCACTTTTTCTTCCTTTTTACCAACTACTTCTTTTATATGTCTTTTTTTGAAGAGCAACTTTGTACTCTTTTCTGTTTTCTGAACTATGTTTGAAATATTTCAAAGTTTTCTACATTTAACTATACAAGTTTCACTTTTTTCATCAATCTCTAATAACTGCTGCATTTTGTTTTCATGACAATATATTATTTTCATGTATTTTTTAACTTTTATATAAGCATTTTCTTTTCCTTTAACCTTTTCTATATTGAGTGTTGCATTTGCTTCATCTCTTCAGCAAACTCATTTTTTTATTCTTTTGTTAGTACTTGGTTCTTTTGTCTCTAAACTGAGTGTATTAATATTATTTGCTGCATAGTTATATCTATTTTTGACTACTCATGTAAGAGGATTTTCTAGCATTTCTCTTTCTAGTTTAGTAAACTAGCTTGCTTTTTTTCCTTTTAAACTTCTGTCACCTGCTAATTTAACTTGATTCCATATATACATTGTTTTGCCATTCTTTGCAATAAGTTGTAAAACTAAAATTAAACCCAGACTGCTCGCTTTCATTTCCTTATAAGCTATGTTTAAATACTCAAAAATATATATGATCTCTTCATCATTCACTATTTGTATAATGTCTAAATTTCAGCTCTTTGTAATTTCATTTTCTTCTATTATAAAGCCCAAAGTGTATGCTTGTTGCAAGATGTTTATATCTAAATTGCGACCTCTTATTATATCTCTTGTTAATATGTTCTGACTTGTTAAGATACAGTTTAGAGATCCTGCTTTTAGCTGGCCTTGCTTGAGTCTTCTTACCAAAGATTTTTCTAATAATCCTGGTATATTTAGTCTAACTAGTAACTCTGATATATGATACTCCACATGTCTATTTCAAAAACTCTTGAGATCTGTTATCTCTGGGTGTTTTGTTATTATGTTTGCTATTGTGAAAGGCATCGACATTTTTCATTTTATTAGACAAATCATTGGTTGGTGTATTCGCTTATACTATACTTTAGTTAAATATGAAATCATTAATCATATGCTCTGATTTTTGGAATTGCAACAATATTTGATCTACTCGTTCATTTTGAATAATTTAATTATCAAAATATTGGTCACAATAAGATGATTCTAACAAGCCCAGAATCATTAAAATCTAATTATGGGATCATAAGA